TGCTTCCCAAGTTACCCCAACCTACTCCTCACACCATTCTGACCAATCATCTTATTCTCCAGACACACCCCGAATCTCCCCAGAGCTAGATAATTTTATTACCCTCCAACAACAACCCTACCACCTTAACACCCAGACCATAAACCAAATCTCCTCCACTACAAATTCATCCAATCCCCCTACACCCTCTTCAAATTATACTGAATCATTAACACCATCATCCACATCCACTATATCTTCACTCAACACTAATAGAGCTTACCGCACTTTTAAAAGAAAGTTCCCCAACCATCCTTTCCCAGCAAAACCAGGAACAGCCCGTGAATAAATCAACCACCCCAAGCATACTAACACAAAAGAATTTTTAGCCATCACCTTACCCTCATTCCCACAATACACCTTAAACACCCCCCACGACACTAACGAAACACGCAACTTCGTAGATGAATACGTTTTAATGCCCACTCTCTCTTGGACCTCATATTATCATTTTACTAATCCTCTTTGCTTACCTTTATCTAACACTCAAATCGATATAGAGCGAAATACGGACATGCTATATCGACTCACTACACCACTAACCGCTAGACAGTTTACTTACGTTGGATATAAAAAATCACTAAAAATACACACTGCACCAAGAGCTAATGAATATACACTAGAATACTACGATCACAACATCATCAGAGCTAACCAAGATCAATTCTTAGACGACGATCGCTTCGCTAATCCACAAATCACCGAGAAATTTTTCATCAAGACACCATATGTATTTACACTAAACATCTTCGACCGAAAGTTTGATCATATTATTTCAGAAGCACTAACAGACACACAAGCATACGAAAGTTTTAAAGAACGCTTCCAAATATTTTCACTAACCTTTCATTTCCTTGCACCACACGAAAGAGATTTACACTGCTCACACGATATTATGTTGCGCACTAAACAAACCCACACATATAGTTATTATCGCTTCATCCAAAATCACTTTGACCTACACACACCCTCTAGACAACCACACCATTGTTTTCAATTCATTAATTCCAAATACACTTCACCATTTTTCCTAAATTTCACATATTGTATTAAAGACACTAACCTCCATGGTATTCTTCGTAATTATGACCCCATAACCCAAATGTACATTTTCTGCCCCATCACCAAGACCTTCAACGCCGAAGAATCTCGACCCTTCCTTATCCCGCACGAGTTTGTACAACCTATAGAAATCCCAATTTTAGAATTCATCCACAACACTAAATTTAATCACAAATTATATAACTTAATCCAAAACACACCTTATGAGTTTGCAGTAGGCACTGAAGAACTAACCACTATTAAGGCACTTCAATTGCTTTGGCCACTGCTTCAGACTAAAAATATCATCCGCATTCTAGCTAAACTACTAACAACTTCAGAACTAATTCACGACATCTTCCCCCACGGTTTTTTCCCCGACGACTAACAGGTAAGTATGAATTAAGTAAATATTACTAACTAATTACAGTATTAAAAACTCACCATTCTTTATTCATGTTTTCCTTAGATTTTTAGCTTTCATCCGACAATCACCTACAAAAACCACAAAAGAAACAATAAAAATCACAATTTTCATCAAACAATTTTAAAATTCTATTAATCTCTTACACTTATAAATTTCTAAATTTAATATCAATGCAGTAAATTCATCTATAATATTTTCCCCCAAAGCAGTAAATCTAATTATGATGAAAATTTGTATCTTAATATTCCCCCATGACTAGCAGTAAATTTCTAAATTCTATGTAGTAAATTAAATAAATGCAAATGCAGTACTAACCTTTTGATATTTTCATTCATTCGCACAGAAATTCTATCCACACTCGCACAGCTCGCCCACGAAGAATTGTTTAAAATAATGAATTTCAGTTTCAAGTTTTCACACTCAACAACTCTAACATAAAATAACATGTTTCAAATTTTCCTTTAACCCGGTTGGAAAGGAATCATATACTAAACAAAACTAACCAACGCAGCTCACTAAATACCACAAATCATAGAATAACAGCATGACTTAGAAAAGGAAACCAACGGTACCCAAACCGGATTAACCCAGTTTAAAACTGGATAATTTATTCTTTTGAAGACTATTACAAAGTCTAAGAAAGAAATAATAAAACACAAAAAAGTCGAAAGACAAACCCATACCACAAACAATTTGCTTTTTGGAAAAAGTACATAACCAACAAGACATAAGTAAGACCACAACAAACCCAACATAAAACGTTGTCACATAACAGGACCCCTCACAAAAACCGCATGAAATCATACTCCCACTCCTGGCCTAACCCACCAGGAAGGACGTCCTGAGCATGCTCTATAGCCGGCCTAACCCACCGCGCTACATCCACGCTTTGTGACCACACCTCTATTTTTAATAAGAGCTACTCAAGGGTGAGTAACTCTTCAAAATAACTCGAACTAAAACAAAAAGCTTTTGTGAAAACAACTAACTAAAATCATTATTAAAAAATATTAAACTAATAAAAGTTTTATAAAATGTAAAATCACATGATGCAATATATAGATCAGAATACAACACCAAGGACGAACATCAAAAGACAAGACGACCCCACTACACTCGAGAGAGAATGACCAACTACAATCGATATGCCGCTCACAATCACAACTCAAAGGATTTAGAGTACGACTTGACCTCGCAGAAAAGGACTTCATTGAACTAGACCAATGACCACCTCGATGTTCAAGTATACGTACAGATCCGAGTAACCAGGCATCCCCTCCACGCACAATCTCCACGCCATTCCCAAGCTAGATCAGACACAAAAGAAGTTCTCCACGAAGAACAGAAAAACCTGACATAGCCAACCATTCTGAAATCAGATTTGAGTTTGTTGCGAAGACTTAGTCGTTGTCACAAGAAGAACACAACGTCTTACGTCTCTAACTCCAGCTTCCTGGAACTTCCCTAACAAAAGAGGAAACGGAAGAAAATTATGATGTTCGCCAAAAACAAACGTCCATCATCCATCCTTCGAATTGCAGAAGAACTATTCTAAAAAACTCTGTAAAACCCGGATGGGTGGAACCTGATCTAAACTACATTTTATGATTGGATAAATTAAATGTTTTACCAATGTAAAGTATTTAATATTAACCAATCATGATCCATCTAACTAACAACCCACTTATTTGTAAGTGCTGAAGTTACTTGTAATTTCAGCACCAGAGAGATTTGAATTTAACTTAGAAATTAGTTGGACTCTCCCGAGCACTTCAGCAACCGCAATAAACCAGTATACCCTAGATCTATTGAGCCTAGCAGAGACTAGTTAAACAACCTGAGACTAGATAGTATAAGAGTAAGATTAGGATCGGTATTAGACTAAGAAGTTGCACGAATCTATCCGGCCGAAAATAAGATAGCGTGACGAGCAGACGGTGTACCCTATCCGAAATTACTCTATGAGTTAACCAACTCGGTCATAACTCAATCATTCAAAAGGTATTGTTGTCCTGAGCTTAAATTTGAAAAAATATTTCACCTGTGATCATTTTTTGTAAAGTTATGAGGGTTTAAAGATTGCCATTTTGGCCATTTTGACCAATTTGGGACAATTAACGTGCAATATATTTCGCGCTATTAACGCGTAAGCGGAGATTTAATCCGTCTTATAAATCGTTCCAAATTGGTTGAAAGAAAGATAGTTACCATAATTGATTTGTTACAATGAGCAAAATCTATTCTTTTGTACTTTATATGGCGTGTGGGGGGATGATTTAATTTAAGAAAAATCAAATTTTAGAAGAAAAAAAATTTCATTTTGTTTTATTACATTTAATTTTTTAATGTTATTACTGCTCCATAAACCTTAAAAGGCAGTCGGAAGATTCAGGGCTTCGCCCTGTTACGAGCAGTTTTGTTCAATTTTTGAAAACTGTTGCGTTTTCTGGGCGCCCCTCTGAAGCGGGACAATTTTCTTGTATTTTTTCCTCTTCAGCTGCTGTTAGCCAAAATTGGATATTGAATAATAACTCCCAATGTCATAGATTGCGATAAATAGAAATCTTTTTTGGGGGTTGTCCTTCCTTTCATAATCCGCATCTGGTTTCTACCAATCGGATATAAACTCCTCGAAATTATCTGAGTTTAATTAAACTTGTGTAATATAAACTTTGCCAGATGACATATGTGACACAAAAATGTCACTGAATTTTTTTACAGTGCTTTAAACTGACAATAAATTTTTTTAAGTTGATGAATATCCTAAAAGATACAGCAGAAACCCATCTCATTATTTAATCAAAGTTCAAAGTATTTTCTCTATAGGTAAAAGTAGGGCTTTTTGCAACTTTAAAAAAACTTTATTTGCTCATTGAATATTTTGGCATGTGAAATTTTCAAATTTCGCATTGAGTTTTATTATTAGCCTTTAACTTCATTATTGGGTTGGAAAAGTTTGCTTCCCTCTTCTATTCAGACTGAAGTAAAGATAAGGGAGAGCTTAATTAGTGTATGCTCCAACCATTTCAAATTTTCTGCCTTGTGAATTTGATGCCCTGATAAGTTTTGAACAGACTGTTGAATTAACAGAAAACTTCCTAATAACTTTTGACCATACAGCTAAAATATGTATTATATCCATCTATCAAAATCCAGTGATTAAATGAAATATTCAAAAACGTCGGACGTTGAAAGGAAAGCTTAAAATCTTGTTAGAATAGCTTTTAACTTCAGCGACTAATTAAAAATGAGCACTTGAGCTTATTTTTGGCCCCGAAAATTGTTCCACTGGTCAAATATTCTTCTTAGTGATAATAAAGTTAAATATTTCATCAGTTTTTTCAGTGGCTTATATGGTCAAAGAAGTTCACCGAAGTGAAAAATATGGAAGAAAAGGTTTGAAGGGACATCTAAGCCATTTTTCGGGGAAAAATCACGCTTGAGATAAATCATATATTATAATTCATTCTCATAAATTAATCATAATACCTATTTTAATAAGTTTAAAAAAGGTTTCGAATACCCAATATTTCTGGAAAAAACGCTTCTTTTAATCGTGTATTCGCTTTTTGATTTTTTTTTCCATTTGTCGAGTTTTTCTACTTTGAACAATTTGTTTTCCCTAAATTCGAAAAAAGTTCTGCATAGTGTTTTTTGGGACTTCAGTATTTCCGCATGTACTTATTGTTCCGACTTTCGATACGAAAGTAACGGAATATTTGTGCTCGGGGTGGGTTTTTTTTTTCTTCAGACAAATTTCGACTTTTTACCTAGCCATTTTTGACGGAATCTTTTTATATCATTCGAAAGGTATTATTGTCTTGAATTCAAATTTGAAAAGATATTTCACCTGTGATCAATTTTCGTAAAGTTATGGGGGTTTAAAGATTGCCATTTTGGCCAATTTGTGACAATTAACGCGCAATATATTTCGCGCTATTAACGCGTAAGCGGAGAGTTAATCCGTCTTAAAATCGTTGCAAATTGGTTGAAAGAAGCTTATTTGCCATAATTGATTTGTTACAAAGAGCGAAATCTATCCTTTTGTACTTAATATGGCGTGTGGGGGGGATGATTTTCATTTAAAAATTTCAAATTTAAGAAAAAAATTTTTAAATTTATTTTGATACATTCAATTTTTTGATGATATTACTGCTCCATAAAACCTTAAAAGGCAGTCGGAACATTCAGGGCTTCTCCCTGATACGAGCAGTCTTGTTTCATATTTAGGATCAATTTTAAATAAAAAAAGCATAGAAAAAATTTAGATGCACTATTTGAAAAATAAGTATCGACTTATTAGATACTATCGACAAAATTTGAATTGGACTGACATTTTTAGTTCATGGGATTAGAATAAGGGCCGGAAGACTTGTTCGCGTTGAAATGTATTGCACAATGTTCTTGTACGAATACCAATAGAAGTAGTGATTTGGGCTTCTGTCATAAACAGGGTAAACTAGTCATAACCAGGATGACACCTGGCCTTCAAGCGGAGGTATCGATCGAACAAGGAAAAAAAATTCTCCATTCGATCTAAAATCTAGCGCCTAAAGCGCCAATATTGATTTTAAGACGCAAATTAGGAGAAATTATGGACTTAATTTATAGTCCAGCGAAAGGACGCCGAAGGGTCAATGAGCCGAAGAGTGAAGTAGAGTGTCAAGGGACCGAATTATATTACATCGTCGTCATCTCGTTTTTTTATGGCGGATTTAGGGGTAGGAAGCCCTCACCACCCTTTGTTACTAGTTTACAACATCAATTTTCGGCCAAATGGCTCTAAACTTTTTCTAGAGGCGCCTTTAGTACCACAAAAACAAATTTTGGTGGAACGTGTACCAAAAAACGCATCTATTGGTCAAAAAACTTTTTGGTCATTTTATGCCTGCTTACCTGTCATTTGCCTGTTGCACAGAAACTTATTGAGTCATTCGCAGAACAAAATTGAGTCTTTCTAGTGTTTTTCAAGAGCTCGAAAAATCAATTTGATCGACCTAAAAAAGAGTCAGCAAAATTTGCATCATAATATTGAACTAACCTCTGGAAAAGAATAATATAGAGAGGATATTTAATTTGATGTACTTTTAAACTATTTTTCATGTTTGACTCCAAATTAGGCGTTACTTTATGACTAATTTTTAAGCCTGATTAGCCACCATTCAAATATTGGTTGTTTCTAAAACGTTCATTTTTCTATTGAAACCCAATCGAGATCCTTTTGTTGTGCCAACTTTTGTTTGAGATAAACCTTAAAACTTAAGTCTAAAATGAATTTGAATACCTACTTTTTTATAATCTTAACAGACAATTTTCTTTTAAATTCCTAAAAAAAACAGCGATAGCTCTTCGTAAAGCGCTGAACACGTTATACGTCAATCTTTTTCCTCGAAGACTCTTAGTCTTAACCCTTGCTGACCAGAGACGGCGTGCAATTGATTGTATAGAGATGATGTGGAAATAACCCACGAAACATGGATTTGAACTGATTTGATATGAATTATAAATGTTCGTATCACATGCATGACGCATAAACCAATTGAAGACCAATTGTATTCAAACCAATTTTATTCAGACCATTTTTTAATAACTCTGAGCCCTCGGGGAATCGATCTCTTGATCGGCATTGACTCCGCCGGGTTTGCACACCACTATTTATACCTGCCACCAGTCTGTGTAAACTACTCGTTTCATAATTTACACGCGTCGCGAATCATCCCGCACTACAAAATCGTTCCAAATTGAATTTACTCAACTAAATGTTTTTTCCGTACCTGACTCAATTTAACACTTAATTTTATTATGATCAGCTTAAAATACTTAATTTTGCCATTTTTTAATATACAAAAAACTATTCGAAAAATGTTCGAGGCAAGGTAGTAAGAAGTAGGGAAAGTAGTGAAAGTAGTGAAAGTGGGAAAGTAGTAAGAAGTAGAAGAAATTTAGTAAATTAATCTTTCAAATTGCGGGACCAAAATCGATTGTGTTTTGATTTGTTGACGTCTCTTTAAATCCTTTATTCTTAATTGCACATTTTTGAGGGTTTTGCATTTTTTTTAAATTTAAATTGTGACTTGCAATATTTATATTTTTTGTATGGTAACATAATTTGAACACAAAACCGGATTTATTTTAGCCCTTTTCATTATTTTAAAACCTTGTTTTTTACTCAGAATTATACTTTTATTAACAATAGAAAGTAGTAGAATCAATTTTTTATAAAGTTCTTGGGATTTTTTCAAGGGAAGCAAAAATGATGAAATACTAAAACAAGTTAAAGATAATTTAAAAGTCTGCAAAGCTACTCTTTCAACGACTCCAAAATTAGTTTGTGTAGAAAAAGCTGAGATTTTTTCAGCTGATTAAACTATGTTAAAACTAATACAATCGATGTAAAGTGATTTTCTGTTTTGAAAAAGGATTCATTCAATTTTAGAAAAAAAAATAAACAAACCGTTGAAGCTTTTTGCAATACATTTTGTTTCAAGAACTTCGTATATCGTGGTTTTATTTTGCTTGGACTGTTTATTTAGAGAAAATCATTTTGGCTTCAAGCTCAAATAAAGATTTTAAGCTAAATTTTACTTCAAATACCAACGTCGAAAATCAATCTTCGGCAATTTAATAGAATCATTTTTTTTGATAGGAAGCAAAATGAATTATCAATATGGATAACTATCTTGAGACTTGATGATACATGATAAGAAATCAATTTTAGCTACTATTGTATATTCAATCTGGATATTATCTTTAATGGGAATTGGTGATTCAAACTTCAAAACCAAAATGTGATAAATCAACCAGGGCGTCTTAATTTGTAATTAAAGTAATCAACATAGTTGTATCCTTACTATTCATATTTCCGTAAAAACATATTAATATAGGTATCATTATTGTCATTACTAGTATTATGATTATGATCATTAGATTTTATGACGGCTGTTTTGAAACTTGGGACAGTTTAGTCTTGCTGAACGCCATACGACGCTGGGCATTGAACACTTTTCTCAAACTTAAGATGGCTTAGGTTTGCTCTGAATTAAGTTACATTCGAAAATCGGCGCTCAGCTTAGCAATAAACTTCAAAATTTTGAAGAAAAAAATGCGATTGTTGTACATAATTGCAATTTTTTGACCCGTCCAGCGTAAACTTATCTTTTAAACTAATGGTCAAAAATTTAAGAAGATAGAGTTTTCTTGACAAAAATTGGTGGAACTCGAGAAAAATTTGCTAGTTTTATTTGTCAGGGTGGCCAAAAGATTCTTTTGCTTTTCAAAAAATTGATAACCAGAAAACTCAATTGATTCAGTTTAGCGTTCAATTGACCCGGAAAAAAAGCGGATCACACAAACTCAATACCAGAAAGGCGATGAAAATGAGTACAGTTAGCGAAATGCTTCAAGTTTGATTGCTACTTTTGGGAACTAATTTTGACTGACCCTTTTATGATTGCTCATGTTCCAAAAGAATAGTTATTTTCTAAAAATAGTATAACATTTTGGCCCGTTTTTCTCATCTTGAAGAACTTTTTTAACACTTTTAGTGTGCAAATAGGAATGCAGGAGCATCTTAGTTGCAAAAACTAAACTAGGTGTTATAACTTTTCCATCAAATATCACAAATTGTATGCTAAAAAATTGTTGCTGAGATAAGCAAAAAATATATATTACATGTCTCAAAAGATCTATAGTGTGTAGAATTGGTAATTCTAGCAAATTTTCGACTTAGCGTATTTTCTGCGCATTTTATCCTAACATGATAGTGAAAATATTAGTAAATTTGGTTCAAAATCGGGTTATGGTTAGTTTATTGGGGTCGTATGACTTTGTTGCTTGGGTCAAGATTTGACACCGAAGTCAGATGTTATTTAAGTAAGTAGCGAAGGGGGGATTCAATTGATAAGAATCATACGACTTCGGTACTTACCCGATTTACGATGCCAACCGCAGGGGAATGTATTTACAAAACGTGAACAAGTCGATAAAAACCCCGGACTTGGGACCCGTCAGCTTTGACAGGGGGAGTAGGTAAAAGGGAAAAACCATAGGGGGCAGTTGTGATTAAGGGGATGACAGCACCGATATGAAGTGGCGTGACATTAACAAAAACGGAGCACAAATAGAGATAAGAAGAAGTGGAGGTTAGAGAGCGGATTAAAAAGAGAACGAGTTAACGAGCGTAAGATTCAGTAGGTCCCAGTTGTGGTCGCTATCTGAACTCATCTGTTAATTGTTTCACAGCGAGTGAAGTAAGAACGTAAGTCAAAGTGCCTTGTGGAAAATTAGTTAGAGCAGAAGTTAGTACAAATCAGAGAGCTTAGTCGACACGTGTACTGACCGAGTACGCAGAGAAGAAATTGTTAAGTGTGTACAGATCGCAAACCATTCTGTTGTATATTACTAAATTATTTGCTGGCCGAATTAGTAGGCCCTTTGTATTCATTCAGACTTATACATATATTGAATTCATTTGAGAGAAAGGAATTCGTTATACGCGACTTCAAGC